CATTTGCAAGTTACAGAATTGAAATTGCTTTACTAGAACGGGAGTTATAAAATTTTAAAAATGCACAGTTTTTATTAATGATAAATTTTTTCAATAAATTGATCGACAAAATTTTAAAATCTTTATTAGTGCTGGACTATGATAGTTAATCATTTGGTATCTAACACCCCAATAAGACATTCTGGAGTTGAAAAAGGTGAACATATGATATTTGTCTATTACAGATTTACGTTGATTTTAAGTTTTTGTTACTGTTTGAACTTTTTACCTAATCCCACCGCTATTATGGAGGGGTATGTTCAAATTAATGGCTCATTTGCATCGGATCTTTCTCAAGATCTCATAAACTTAGCAAACGCAATCGCGATCTTCACAAACTTTTAATGGCCGTAATGGTGACGTTATACAAGCGAGAAAAAAATACGACAGTTGTGTTCGTAAATTTTAACTATACTGCAGCTATAAATAATCAGGATACCACGCACATTAATTTTATCGATAACATGTCACTTTTATCATATAGCAATTTTTTATTCCCTAAAGATAATTGTGTGACAGAATCATTCCTTTCTACTAGCTCTCTTAATTCGGATGATTATTATGTTCATAATCAATGCAGTTATTCTATATAGACTATACAAAATAATTCTCCTGCATAAAATATTCATATCATATCATCGGAATATTTTAATAATTCGAATCAAAATCAGCAACAACATAATGATGATAATGCTAGTATCAAAAAAAAAAGCAGCAAGATATTATGACTTTTGGGATTATGATTTTTTAGAATTATAATCTTTGAGATTATAATTTTTGGGATTATAATTTTTGGGATTATGATCTTTTGGGATTTTTTTTCTTTAGGATTTCTTTTTTAGGATTTTTTTTTTAGGATTTTTTTTTTTAGGATTTTTTTTTAGGATTTTTTTTTTTTGGAATTTTTTTTTTTAGAATTTAGTTTTTAGAATATTGTACTTTTGAATTTTGTTCTTTTAGGATTTAGTGTATTGGGATTTAGTACTTTTGGAATTTTGATCTTTGGGATATTGACCAAACCCAAGCTTTCCTTACATTTAATGTCTGCTAGAAAATCAAGTGACAACCCTATTTCTGTTAATTTTATAAATGTTGTTTCTCAAGTTTGTATCAATGAACATCCTTCAGAATCTAATGATGTAAATCCTACACCAGAAAACATGAATCAAAATAATTTGTCCAATACTAATAATAGTGCCATTCCTCTTTCAGATACTAGAAAAGGCATTGATGCTGCTACTGCTAATAATAATAACCTCATTACAGATATTTCCACTAATCTTCTCCTTTTTCAAGATAAAAATGCTAAACAAGCTAGAAAAGATTTAAGACCTCTTTTATCCTTAAAAAAATAAAATTCCTATTACCATGTATTACCCTTCATAATTCTTTTGAAAAAAATAAATATAAATAAATATAAATAAAAAAAATAACAAACTACAACTGATATGATTTCTTCAGATTGTTATATAACAAAAATATCAAAAATTTAATATGTACTTCAAGTATTTTTATCTAAATCGCTCTAACTGTACTTTCAAAAAAGAAGATCGTATAGTGATATAAATTAAATTTGATTTTTTAGATATTATTTGCACTATATCGCTAACTTTTACCAAATATATTCTCTTGATATCATCAAATACAATCAACTCTGGATATTACGAATCTTTCTATAGCGAACTCTGAATATAACGAACTTAAAATTTTGAAATTTCATAATAGTTCGGTATAAAAAGTGGCATGAGTTCTTAGAAAAATATAGTAATTACTCTATAACGAACTTTTTTTTCTTCCAGAGTCTTCAGTTTATTATAAAAAAAGTTAACTGTATATTTTAAATACTGTATTTGCTAACTAAACCTATATTATTTAAACAATATAATTCGTTATCTTTAATCGTATAATAAAAAAAAACTTATCATTTAGATGTTTAATTTGATATTATTTTTTTAATTTAGTGATCCTGCCTATTACTCTTTATTGGAAAGTATCAGAACTCATATCAACAGGAAGATACAATTTTCTATACTATATTTCACGTGAGTAAAGATCAACTCGAGCTAAGCTCAGAGAATGACCCATCTAGCAGCAATCAGCTTCACATTGGATCCTCAACTTATTGAGAATATGAACCCTCTGATCCTTAGCCCTAGCAGCTGCATCGTTTCATCAAAAAAGTTAAATTAATGAAAGCACAAACACAAAAGAAAAAATAAAACAGAGGTAAAAGAGGAGTACGATAAAAAATACAAACAAGAAAGATAAAGGTGTAAGGGGATATCGAAAAAAAAAAAAAAAATTTGCTTATTCTAATGATCACTATTACTGTATAGCGCGGACTATAGTACCCCTCCATATCAAAGTACCCCCCTTAAAAAAATTCATAGTAGAATATAAAGTACCTGGATATTTTAAAAGGAAAGTAGATTTGTGGTTTGTAAAATACCTAGGTATTTGCTATATAAAATACCCAGTATACCAACTATGCAAAATATCTAAATATTATATATTCTTGACTTTTACTAA